AAGGAAGGAAGAGAGGAAGGAAGAAAGGAAGGAAGGAAGGAAGAAAGGAAGGAAGAGAGAAAGAAAAGGAAAAATAATTATATTATCTGTATTTTCTTTACCGACTGCTAACATTTTCAAAAAATAGGTTAACTCATATTCTCACCCTAGGATACCTTATGAATCTGATTAAATAATTATTGTAAGTTAGAGTAAGGTGTAGTGGTCCAATAAAGCACAAGTAGCTGTTAGCTAAGTGAAACGGCTGTGATTCTTAAAAAGATATATATGTTACAAGCCTCTTACAATGAGAATCAAAATGCTGCTATGTTTGATTTACAAAAAATGATCTTTTTTTTGTTAGAAAAATTAATTTTTTATGAAAGATTGATATAACGCAGATTTTTAAAAACTAATTCAATTATACATAAAATTAAAAATCTAGAGTCTCGTGAGAAAGATAAGGGCTTTGCCCTGGTGAAGTACATAACGTCTATGTGGTTACTCATTAAAGCTTTGCAGGTTTTGGTGCGCGTGCACATCGTAGGCTCCGATCTTAGTTTCAAAAGTAGGCAGTCACGTTTAAATTCTATTTTGCTTTCGATTCTCGAAATAAAACAATATTCTAATTGATTCTTTCTTTCTTCTTCAGAAAAAGAAACAGATTGTCAAAAGTTGAGCTATCGAAATAAAACCTGTCAGCAGAAGGAAGATGACAGGTGCTTCAAACTAAAAGCAAAAGAGGTTTTACGAAAAAATCGCCTGCGCGTAATAAAAGGAAACGCGTCCGTACTGCAATAAACAGATATGGGCGATGAATGAAGAAAAAACGAGAAACCAATTAATCTCGACATAAGAAATGATAGTTAGATTTATCTAGAAAGCTAAACAAATGAGGTGTAAACTAAGCACGTCATGAAATTCTAGAAAGATAAGTAAAGAACGAAGAAGTGATTGTAGATTGTATATTTTTTAACGTCTTTATTTTTGCCGTTGTATTTCATTCGAAGGATGGAAAAAATACAACAACAGAAGAAATGAAAGTGAGATTTCTTTTTGAGGAAGAAAAACCGTTCTCTTTAATTCTACCAAAGAAAGGAAAAAGAAAAAAACTTCACCAATACCATCATTATTATCATCATTTTTTTGTCCTCCTTCTCCTCAGTCTTTCAAGGTGTTTTCCGAAAAAATATAGATTAAAAGTAGTACCACAATGGACGTAACGCTTCATATAGAGCAAGTTCTCCAATAACCCGATTTGAACCAATACTGATATATTAATGGAAGTGAGTAAAGCTTGACCGCATGTGGTAATATATAAT